CCTGCCCGCTCCTCCCGCAGCCCTGCGGCCCCGGGCCCGCCTGGGCCCCCGTGAGGCTCAGTCCTGACCCACCGACCGCCCGGCACGAGGCATAAAACCTTATTAATCACACATGGTGTGATGAATTTGAGCTTCAGCTAAAAGCATAGCGTGCGTGTATTTTGGCACCGGGATAGCATGCTGGTGGAGACCCACAGGGATGCTTAAGTGCAACTCCTGGCCCTGTACAGGACACCCCAATAACCCCACCCTGAACCTGAGGGCGTTGTCCAAACAATTCTGGAGCTCTAGCAGCCTTAGGGCAAATAACCCCTTCCTTGGGGAGTATGTTTTTGTGGCAGAAATGGTTCTGGCTCTGTTTGGAACACTGATATGTGTCGTTTTCCTCAGCAGTACAATTATTTAATTTCTTAATGGCTAAACATTCACTTCAGTTTGAACCTTCAAAGTAAAAAGCTAAGGAAAAAATAAGGGTAGTTAAACTGGAAGTATGAGCTGTGCTTTTATCCCCATGTTTTGTCAAGCAGTTTTCTTCTTCAAGGCAGAGAAGCCTCTAGAGTCACACATGATACAAGGTGCCCCAAGTTAACATTTTATTGGAAAAGTTCAAAAGTTCTAGTAACAAGATTAGCTCTAGTACAAATATAGATTTAAATGCATGAACTAAATAAAAACATCTCTGCATGATTGCTGTACATTAGAGGAAGATTACTCTTGGCTACCCACTTTGTAAAGAAAATGGAATGGAAGCTGGGTTAGGAGAAACAGCTCTAGAAATAAAGGACAAATAAAGAGGCTCTTTTTAACATGCACTCTCTAAGGAGCCAAAACAAAGTGAAAGCTCTGAAGCTTTGAGGAGTTCAGTTTTCCCATGTTTGTTTATGCTCTGTCACATGGTCACAGCATACAATCAGGTCCAATTACCAGAATCACACACAATCTGCTCGTCCTTGAATTCCAAGGAGTTGGCATTCACCTGAGTAACCAGGACTTCCCACAAAGCAAAGGTCACTCTTCCTGTAACAGAGCTCAGCAAGGTATCTTGAAACATGGACAAACATTTGTTTGGAACTAAAATCAGATGGAAGGAACTTTACTCGGCATCTGTTGACTTATAGTGATCATCATCCACTGTGGAGTAGATGTGTCCCTCGCTGCTGAGGAATTCCACAGCTTGCCTTGAAGAAAAACCCCACAGTTGGTAAGTATTTAGCAATTAGTTAGCAAAGGGAGTAAGTCACCACCTTTCTGCCAGGTAATTCCCACTCACACACCCCATTCCCACAGTTCCCTCTGGGCAGCTGCCAAGGGAAGCTTTTGGTGTTTCTGTCTCATGGACACAGGGAGTTTCTGCTAAGCTATGGCAATCCCACTGAAGCTCACACTCTGCTTGAGCCACCACTCTGCACTTCCTAAATAATACCCACCACCCTGCTCCAGAGGGGACAGAACATACACAGGTCATGGAAGGTAATGACTACTTTTTTAAGTCTCAGAAAGAAGTTGTAAGAGACAGTGAAGGAGAATAGAACAGCCTATTCCTAGATTTTTTATCAGTGTGCAGAGAGCAAGGTAGTCCTTGAGCAGGAGAAATGCTACTGAGCTGATAAACAGCTTGGTTTGAAAACAAGGAGCAAAGCAACTGGCAACAAGCTCATTCATTCAGGGCAGTGAATCATTTAAAATCTCTGGCTCCTGTGGTGCTGGGACCACCTGAATTACCCACCCTGATTCACAGGTGAGTGTCTGGGCTTGTCCACTGTTCTCTCTGCCTCTGGAAGGACTGCCTGGATTTCCATAGCATCCTTCATTTCTACACACTTACTTGATCGTTAACATACTCATACTGTGGAGCTGGAGCTTCAAGTCTTGTAGACTCATCCCCTCTGGGACATGGCAGCTTTTGATCAAGTTCAGCACCTGGATGAGCAAGAAGCACACTACATCACATCTGAGGAGCCTCTGCTGCCACTGCTGTGCTCCAGGGAAAGCTGCTGGCACCCACCTGGCTCTGGTTTGCTGTGAGCCCGTTCACTGGCAGGCTGCCACCTCCTCCGTAGCCCCCCATGTCACTTATCCCAGTGGAGGAAAATGACTGTGGCACTCTTGATGCTGACTGGAATAATGAGAATAAAAAGTGCTGTGGTTACCCAGGCTGCCCCAGCCCACAAAGTTAAAGACTCACTGTTATCTCTAAGCCAGTAAGTAAAAACAGCTTCTGAACAGAAGTGGATTGCTGTTACACCTTCAGTGTTGCCCAGCTTTAAGCTTTCCAGCCCCACAGTGAGGCAATTTTCCCAGCAAAAGGTCCCTCTTTTGGGGGAGGGAGGTCACCAGTCACCCAGGAAGGACCACAATGGAATCAAGATTTTGTACGTACCATAAGATTTTTTCTGAGCATCATATGTGCATTGACGATTTCTAGTATGTGTGTGGTGAACTCATTCATATTTTCCAGAGGCATGATCTTAAATGCCACCAAGCTCTTCTTATTCTTTCAGAGGAAAAAAAAAATACAAACACAAAACAAGGAAAACAATTTACAGCACAGCAACACAGAGATACCTAACAGCCAACCCAGCCATCCCCTCCAGGAGCGGGATAGCAGTGGGGAGAGAGCTCTGCATCAGAGAAATGTTCTTCCAAAATGTTCTGACCTTCACCTTGTGCTGGTTTTGGCTGGGGTAGAGTAGCATGGGCTAGTTTTGGACTTGTGCTGGAAACAGTGCTGATAATGCAGGGATGTTTTAGTCATTGCTCATCAACCCTTGCACAGAGCCAAGGGCTTTCCTGCTTCTCACACAGCTCCACCAGTATTAGGCTGGGAGGGGACAAGAAGCTGTGAGGGGAAACAGCTGGGACCCCCAGTGCCCCACGGGAGAACCCAGACCAGCCAGTGTCATGCTCAGTTATAAAACTGGTGAAAGAAGGAGGAAGAGGCACACCTGCCTGCCCATGGGAAGTGTGGAATGAATTCCTCGTTTTGCTTTACTTATTAAACTGCCTTTATCTGACCTCATGGGTTCTCTCACTTTGACCCTTCAAATCCCCCCCCACATCCCACTGGGAGCAAGAAAGCAGGATGTGATTTTGAAAGACAGTGGAGACAGAGTCACTGCTCTTTCTAACCAGCTGGGAATTAACTGCACTTTACCTTAATGCACATGCACCATTATTTGAATATTCAAACCACAGATGCTACATTAAGTGCTACATGAAGTCTCCCCATGAGAACTTGGTTGAAGTCTCACAGTACCCACACTACAGAACCTGGTGGCCAGAACTCTGCTCTGCTGAAAACACACTGATGACAAGGGGAATTTTGAAAGGATTCTCATTTTAAATAGTCCTCTGCATTCAGGAACAATTAGAACATTATTAAATAAAACCCTGGCAGAGACAGTGAAGGATTTTTTCAGAGACCACAACTGAGTAGTTATTTTTCAGCAGCCCCCTAGCACTAAGGCAGATCACAAATCCTTCACAGCCCTGCTCCAGCCTCATGGCCACGACTCACAGGTAACATGAGCTTACCTGGAATGACCGAAGGTGACCAGCTACTTTAACATAAGTTCCTGGAGGTACCACAACATTCTCACCTCCTGCCTCCTAACAGAGAGGGAGGAAAAAAAAGAGATGTTTGCTGTTTCATGTTTCCATTTCTCAATTATTACAATAAGCAACTTAGTAAAGCAGGCTCATCTCAAGCAAGCACAAACAACATGCATTCCTACGTCCAGTAAGAGCAGTTAGAGAAACATAAATGTAAATTAAAAATGAATAAAAACACTGGTATACATTTCAGAGCAGTCAGAGCCAGTTGTCTGCTCTGCTGTCTCTGTCCACTTATAAGAGATTCTCACAGTGCAACAAGAGGAAAGAAACCTTGAACAATAAAAGACTAGATGTTGAATTCCATAATCTGGCTGAAGGATGGGGCAGGCCAGAGCCCTTTCTGAACTCATGCTAAACTTGCAGTAAGGAAACTGCCTGATTACCCTCTCAAATCTGTTCAACTGAACTCAGCTATACTAAACAGGCAGGCACACACACACACCAGTGACCTCTGCTACAGCAGCATCTCCCCTGGATTTCAGGAACATGTTATCCCTAAAATACTTCCCAGAAAAGCAGTATCTTTTGGATTAAAACAGCTCTGTGAGAAGCAGGGAGTTGGTGCTGATCAATAATCCTTACGGGTTCCTTCCAGCCAAGACACTGTACAATTCTACAACTCTTCTCTACGCAGTGCTCTCAAAAGCTGCCAAAGAAGCCTGTTCATAGCAAACACAACTCTTACATCAGTATCAACCCACTGCCTGACGTCCATCGGGGCTGCCGTCATGTCGTCCACTTTGTAGAGGATGTTGGTGGGCGCCTTCTCCGCGTGCCGGACGATGCCCACAACGGTGACCTGCGGCAGAGGATGAGGAGGATGAGGAGGAGGAGGATGAGGAAGGGTTGTTCGGGCCGGCCGCGCGTCCATCCCGGCCGCGACCGCCCCGGCGCCCACCTGCGAGATCTCCACGTCGCAGATCCGGAAGGTCTCGTCGACCTGCTCTGCCGCCAGCAGCTGCGACACGGTGCAGGGCACGATGTTCTGCGAGCGGCTCCGCTG